CCCCAGACCTTCCTTAGCAATGACTGCAAGCTTCTATTCACTCCTGCTTTATGTTTCCAGTTCCTATTCATTTGTATTCCTACATTACCATTTATTTGACTTCGATTTCTTTGTTTTTTTCAAAACTGATCTTAAGTTTACAAAAAACTTAACTTGGATTTGGGTGATACTTAAACAGGGGTTAATTGGGCTAGCTGTACTATTTTAATATGTTTTTCATAAAAAAGCAGGTAAACAATATTAATAGAAATATTTATGTAAACACACAGAGAGCACAGATCTCTCATTTCTTTTTTATTCGATGTGGTTTCTTTTTTTGGTGGGATAATCTGGTTTGTACTGAAGTCTTAATTATATATTCTCTAAACTTCCTAATCCTTGTAATTCATCTTTTAGCTCAGATTCCTCTGCAATTTGTCTTTGACTGTATTTTGTTAGGACTGTTTGAAATTTGCCTCTCAAAAGTCTACAATAAAAAAATAATAAAAAATAAAAAGGTGTACAATATACTGTAATTCTCCTGTTTTCCTTCCTTTCGGGAATACAAATTTTAAAAAGTTACTAATTCTCCTTTAAAGGAGTGGTTCTCAAGTGTAGGGCTTATACCAGCAGCACCAGAAGCACCTATGAGCTTGTCACAAATGCAAATTCCTGGACCCCTCCTGCCCTACTGTATTAGAATCTGTGAGAAGATTCCTGGGAAATTCTCCAAGTGAATCTTACACATGTTGAGGTTTGCGAACAACTACTCTATGAGAAATAACCATTCCACCCAAAAAGGTGTCAGACAGTGTACTCTCAGCCAAATACAATTTCCATTAAGTGCCTAGAACCCGGCAGTGCCTCATACTATGAATCCACTAAGTTCTATGATTGTCTTACGTGTCTGACTACCTCCTCAATCCCTTCATCTCGGGCCAGGTAACAAACAGCTTGGTTCTACTCCTCTATTCTTATTTCTTTCTTTTAGTCTCCTTTTGATTATGTTTACCCTCCTTCTATTCTCAGGATCTCAATTTTCTATGTAGTTATCTTTCCTTTTAACAAATCTGAGTGTTTTTGTCTTTACTTTGAAACAGGGCCTTACTATGCAGTCCAGGCTGGCCTTGAACTCACAGAAATCCTCCTACCTCAGCCTCTGGAGTGCAGGGGTTACAGGTGTGTGCCACCACGCCTGGCTCTGAGCTTTCATTTTAAAAATGACTTATCCTTCTGTCTTAGTTACTTTTCTCATTGCTGACACAAAATACTCAATACCCAAACTTAAAGGAAGAAAGGTTTATTTAACTCCGAGTTTGTAAAGGTTTCAGTCCGTAACTGGCTGGTTCCGTGGCAGCATGGCACATGGAAGAAGGGCAACAGTTCATGGCAGCAGAAGACAACAAAAACAAGAGAGCAAGACAAGTCTCTTTCTTACATTGCGTACCACAATTGGGGTGATCCCAATTCAGTTAGTGGACTGCTCCCGCAATCACCCACCCTTAATCCCAGCACTGCACCACAAATCAATCACATGCTCTAGATTAAGTCACCTCTAAAAAACAAATCCTATGACCACATGAGACTTAGGGGGCACATCTAGACACAAACCATAACACCTTCCATTGCTTGGTTTGAGTGGTAAGCCCAAGTCCAGAAAATCACATTATAGTCATGAGATATTTACTTTTCCCCCTATAATCTCAACTTTATTGTTCATATTTAGTATGTCATTATAGACTTTGGAAAACAAACATCATGTTCAGTTACTTATTTTGTCTTTTTTAATGCCTGGACACCACCTTTATTTATTCTGCTTACCCTGCCTTACTTTTTGTCTAACAGTGTTTCATCAGTTAATATGCTTCCTTTAGTAGCATTCAGTTTAAAGCCACAACAACTAGTCCCTAAGAAAATACATTCAGGAGACATACTCCATCCCTTCTCCACACTCTCCCAAACTCAGGGGAAAATGGTGATACTTACACCAACACCAGACTTCCTTCCTAAACTTTTCAATTAATGTTTTTATAATGATGATAAATAAAAACTCTGACTTTTTACCAGAAGTAAATTGGTAGGGCCAAGAATAAAGCTGAGTTCATACAAATGTTATAGTTTGATTGGGGGGAGGGTTATACTGAGAATCCACCCAAGGCCTTGCACATGTTAGGCAAGCACTTTACCTCTGAGCTACATGGCTAGCCCTATAGCTTGATTTTTTTTTCTGGGTGGAGGAATTACCAGGAATCGAGCTTAGGACCTCACACTTGCCATGATGGTGCTGAGCCACTGAGCTATACTCCCAGCCCCTATAGCTTGATTTTTAAAAAATACTTTATCAAGGCTACTCCTTTCCTTAATTCTTTTGTAAGAAGAAATATAATACCAGCATATTGATAAAATATTTCTTTCTGGTCAACATATTTGTGTGATCATAATTTCTTGCTTAAAAGTAGAGAAAAATAATCGAAATTAACTATATTCCGCTCTGAATTCTGTGATAAATGACATCAACCAATTCCATGTATATTGGTATGTTTATTCTATACGCAGACAAATTCTAAGTTAAAAATAATTTACAAGATTTAAGTTGAAAGCCATACTGCACAACACAGCACTAAACAAGTCACAGAATTTATATTCTGAATACAAGAATATAACAAAAGAAAAACAGAGTGAACTTTAAACTTCTTGAGTAACTATTAAGTTTAATATAAAAATAATCGAATTTTTTGAGACAGGGTCTCACCACGTAGTTTGGGCTGGCCTTGAACTCACAACAACCCTCCTGCCTCAGCCTCTTGAGTGCTAGGATTATAGGCATGCACCACCATATGTGGTCTGAACAATTCTTCTTCTTAAATGAACATATAAAAATGCTACCCAGTAATAGAAATAAAACACAACACATTAACCCATGGAAATTCTCCAGTAAATAAAAGTCATGTATTTATGCTAAAACAGTTTACTGGTTAGAACACTTATAAAAAGAAAATAGAGACAAAAAAAAAATCAAAGTGGGGCTGGGGATTTAGTTCAGCGGCATAAGCGCCTGCCTTGCAAACAGGCAGTCGTGAGTTCGATCCCCGGTACCAATAAAAAGGAAAAAGACCAAAAAAAAAAAAAAAAAAAAAAAAAAAATCAAAGAAAATAGAATTTAAGCATAATAATTTTAATTTTAAAAACAGCATCTTGGGACCAGGGATATAGCTCAGTGGCACAGTACCTGCCTGGCAAGCTCAAGGTCCTGAGATCAATTCCCAGTGCCAAAAAACAAAAATAAAAATAAAACCAGCATCTTGTACTTCTGATAAGAAATATAAGTATGTCAGTGTTCAATAAATATTAAATTAACATTGCTAACATGTGACAAAAAAATTAAGGTAAAAATGCAAATTTTGAAAGGAAAGGTTTGCTGGTATATATAAGATATATAAGATATAGATAAGATATAAAGTAACTTTCATGAGTCACTTAACTTTCGAAAGTCCATTTCTAGTCACCAAAATTGAACCTAAAGATGAACTGTCAGTGTGAAATCTTTGATGACTGACTCAAAAATGACTCATGTTTATAAACTCCGGAGTATTATCATCAATCCCTTTACTTTTCCATTTACCTCGTCATGAACAGAGATGTCAAATTCTTTCCCTCTTGTGTTCACTTCCTTGTTCTCTATCATTCCATCTAGCCTCAGTAAGTTTTAAAGTAAGTCTCTAGCCTATTTGTGGCTAATAAACATACTTACTCAAAGAAAATGATGGAACAAAATACACTACTCTAGTGATCCTTTGGGATTCTTAGAGGAAAGATACCTTATAAATGTAAATGGCTACGCCTAGAATTCATGGATACAAATCAAAATTATAGAATTTTTATATTTCATTTTACAGTATTAACAAACGCAGTTTTATGCTTTTTTCACTTAACAACCAAAAACAGTTAAACATGAGGCTATTTATCTTCCTTTATCATTAACTATAAGAAAAGCTGCTTTTTATATTTTACTCCAGAGAATAAGATAGTTCTCCATAACTGAAATGACCCTATCTTAAGACTACTATAAAAACGTTTATATCTGCCCTAAAAGATCTCTGGAGTTCTGGCCAAATCTCTCTCTCTCTGACTATCATGCCTCACCCAGAGTGAACACTAAGTAGAGACGTCTGCTACTGAATGTGCATCTTTTTTTTTTTTTTTTTTTTTTTTGTATTTTTCTTTTTACCGGTACCGGGGATCGAACTGATGACTGTCTGCTTGAAAAGGCAGGCCCTTATGCCGCTGAGCTAAATCCCCAGCCCCTGAATGTGCATCTTTTAAAAATATGATATAATGGCTGGGGATTTAGCTCAGCGGCATAAGCGCCTGCCTTGCAAGCAGGCAGTCGTGAGTTCGATCCCCGGTACCGATAAAAAGGAAAAAGACAAAAAAAAATACGATATAAGGGAACCCAGAATTTAGCTCCATGGCTCAAGTGCTTGCCCAGTAAGCACAAGGTCATGAGTTTGATCCTTGGTACAAAAAAAAATACGTGTGTGTGTGTGTGTGTGTGTGTCTGTATGGATGATATAGGGGCTGGAGTCATAAGCAAGTGCTTAACATTTGGAAAGCCTTGAGTCTGCTTGGGAGGCTGAGGCAAGAAGATCACTGTGAGTTCAAGGCCAGCTTGGTTTACACAATGTTAAAAGGCCTGCCTGACCTATATAGCAAGACTTTGTCTCAAAAACAAAAGCAAACCAAAAAGGCAGGGGTGGGGAACCAGTGAAAAGCCCTGGGTTTGATGCCAAGCACCAAAAGAAGAAAAAAAAGGTAGTTCTGGAATGAATAAACTGAATTAGGAACCCTTTTTTCATCCATTCATTTAACAAACATTTGGTAACCAGTTATAAATTGCCTCAATCATTCAATAAATACACAAAACATAAAAAAAAAACTTAATAGGATTTCTATATGCCCATGTTTTGGGAAATTCCCAGTGTGCGTTTCACGTATGATTTGATATGTGCAAATGATCTTACCTCTCTTACAGACAGCTGTGGTGGGAAGGAGACTGAAAACACCAAGTTGGTGAATTCAAACCCAGAGGTCTCAACCTTTTGGCATACCTACAAAAAAAACTATAGTTACATAAATCCCCACAAGTTGCTCTAAGTATTATTCTCATCTTCACATAAATTTCTGATACGGAAGATAATGTTACAAAACTTCCAAACTCTTTCCCTTGAGGGCTGAGAATTGTAGAGTACTTGCTAGCAGACCCACAAAGCAGAACAACATGAACCAAAGCAAAGCAGGGCAAAAGCCTCTCCTAGCCGTTTTGTATTTGCTCACTACGACCCAAAAGACTAATATCATCAGGTACGAAAACAGCCAACACTGACACCTGCAAAATAATCTGAGTGTCAGAATGGTTTTCTATTAAATCATTTCATAACTTCTAAAATGTTTTCCAGTAAAAGGAAATCAAATAAAGGACTCTTGGCTGCAGGAAACCAAAGGCAATTCTACATCCAGACATTTACTTTTTATAAAGCTGTAACACTTATCTTTTCAAGGTAATCACAAGAAGGACTTTTAACTCTAGTGATGCTAAAGACAAGAGGAAAACCAGGCATGGTGGCACATGCCTGTAATCCCAGCACTAGGCAGGCTGAGGCAGGAGGATCACTGCAAATTCGAGACCAGCCTGGGCTACAAAGTGAGCCCAAAGCCATCCTGAACTGCATAGTGAGACCCTGTCTCAAAAAGACAAAAAAGAAAAAACAAACTGCTACATTTTTCTTCACTCATGACTGAAATATGTGGAAACAATTCATTAATTTTCAGATACGCTGTCACAAAGGAATTTCAAAGTAGCAGGCTTTTTTTAATTAAGAAAATTTTATTGATTTATTGATATGAAACAAGTTGAAATAAGTGGCAATGTTCCTTTTCATGTAAGAATTCTAAACATTAAAATTTAAACTCTCTATATAATTATACTTGTAAGAAGAAATTGTTTATTTACCTTTTTAATGAACTCCTTCTCACAGAACTCTTGAAGAATTCCTAGACAAACATTGCATACAGTGAAATTTGAGTTCTTGGAACCAATGCTTCCGTCTTCTGTTTCCGAGCTTCTGCCCTCCCCATTTTGACTCAGATTATCAATCCCATCTTCCAATTCTTGTAGCCTAATTTTCTTGGGAGGTAGGTTTGGAACTTCCAAAATTAATTCATCTTTTTCAGTTTCCAAAAATTTCTGTAGATCATGGAGCAACTCCTGAAAATTAACAAAATAAAAAGCAATAACCCTTGCAAAATGTCCTTAAGGGGTTCTAGATAAAATGAAGCAAGAAAAGAGTGAAAATTCTAACCCATCGGAGCCTTGTACAGTACTAACTTACATCAGTTCTGAAAGAATCAGTTTCTTTTCTTGGCCAGCATTTGCTTTCTAGGGAATTTAAGAGACTTATTAACTAATTCCAATTATATATGTGTGACTATTTCCTCAAAAAACTTCCATATATTATTGATGCTGAAATCCTCAATGTTAGGCAGAAATGCCCCATTAACAAATTGCTTGTTAATTTGAGTAAAACAAACTTTCATTCTAATTAATGTATTAAAATACAAACTGGGCTGAGGACGCAGCTCAGTGGTAGAACTTGGCAAGCAGGAAGCCCTGGTTTCAAGCATTAGCTCTGCAAAAAAAATAAATAAAAGTAAAACTGAATTTTCATACTCGCTAAATTAACAACCTCCCAATCACTAATACCGCACAAATATTTGCTTAACATGAAATTTCATTATTTAGACAAAGAATATAAATCTGTTAAGTAAAAACCATTTTGAAACTATTATGCAAAGTACACAGATACTGGCAATGCTGAAATTTGGCACCAAAATTACAAACGATTTATATGCATTAATTAAAAGAAGCCCTCTACAATATTCTGGTTTGTGTAATTTCTGTCATTCCTTGTATAAGAACTTAAAAGCTGGCATTATTCTAAAAATATTCTACTCATCTAAATAGAGGACTTTTCTTCTTTCTTCTAAATTAGACTAGTTTTATTACTCAGTTATTGAATATCTTTTTGAAATTCATTATACTGACTCAAAAGGGAAAAGAACCCTTCAAACAAATTTAATTCATTTTATTGAGACATTAGCTGTATTTAACAGAAGTATATATCCATACACATACAGGTAATTATGAACCACACAAATGTTATTACATACTTCCTGTCAGTATAACATAGCGTATATATATCCACATGTACATATTTAGTAATATGAATGGCACAGATCAAAATTTAAGAACATTTAAAGTCTTCAAATATTTTTAATATCCTTATTTACATAAACTGTTACAAATTATAGTTGGTAACTTTCTATTCAAGACACATTTGGAATTTTACAGCATAAGTATAGACTAATAGACTATAATATGTCTTTAAAAATAGATTGGGCATTGTGGCACACACTTCTGATCCTAGCACCCAGGAAACTGAGGCAGCAGGATTGCTGTGAGCTCAACTTCAGCCTGGGCTACTGAGCATGACTCTGTCTCAAAAAAACTAAAACTGTATAAGGTGCCAGGCATGCTGACACACACTTCTAACTGCAGCACTCAAGAGGGTAAGGTAAGAGTTTGAGGCCAGCTTGGGCTACGTAGTAAGACAGTGTCTCAAAAACAAAATGTACAAGGAAAGTTACACAAACCAGTCATACTACTTCATCCTTCACAGTCACATTGTGTGTGGTGAATATACACATATATTAACCATCATCACATTTGTATCACTGTCAATTTTCTAAGTATTGTCACATACTTTATTAGATACTCCTTTAAAATCATGTGAGATAGATGCTAACCCATTTCCATTTACAGAAGAGTAAAATGAAGCTGGAAAGTGGTGCAATTGGGATTCAAATTCATGTCTCCTAGGCCCAAATTCCAGACATTAGATTCAGACACACTATTCAAATTCCGGCTTGCTCACTTAATAGCCGTGTAACTGGGCAAGTTACTTCCCTCTCTGTGTCTCAGTTTCTTCATCTGAAAATAGAGACAATCATAGTGTGGTAGGTATTATGAAGATTATTATGAAGGTTATTATGAAGATTTATTATGTTATTATGAAGATTTATTATGAAGGTTATTATGAAGATTTTTTTTTTTGGTTTTTTTGAGTCAAAGTCTCACCATAGGCTGCCCTTGAACTTGCTTATGTATCCCTCACTGGCCTCGAACTCACAGTGATCCTCCTGCCTCAGTCTCCCAAGTGCTGCGCCACTACAACAAGCAATTATGAGGATTATATGAAAGCTTGACATATAGTAATGGTAAATTTATTACTATTTCCAAATAATAGAAATTAATCATATGGGGAACATGATAGCTATTGCTATCTCCTGGGAAATTTTTAAAATAAGAAACAGAGTATGTGTATAAATGCACATATTTATATACACATATATATGTATACATAGTTTTTCCTCTGAAAAGAATATCACTATTGAATCAAACATTTCACATGTGTTCTATATTTTATGTGAAAGGATTCTATGACAAAACTCTCTGTATATTACCATAATGTCAAAGATCTCTACTAACTTACGCTGTCACTAACAGCAGTAACAATGACAAGATGATGAGAATTTACTTCTACAAGGTTCCAAATCCAGTCATGGGCCACATGTTTCCATCAACAGTGGACTGCATATATGAATAGTGGCCCCTTAAGATTCTATCATCTAGTGACAGAATAGCCATCTTAGTTTAAGTACATGCTATGATGTTCATACAATCACAAAGTCACCTAAGGATACAGAAAATATTTCCTTCATAAAGTCATGTGTGACTCTACCTATGTATAAACACAAATGGTTGTCTAGAGATACATCTCAATGGTAGAAAATTTGTCTAGCATATGTGAGGCCCTGAATTCAAACCCTGTCACTGAAAACATAAAAATAAGTACAGGTGGTAATACAGGGCAAGAAAAGGCCAACCAAACCCACAATGCTGCCACTTAATAGACGATATCAAGACTATCACCCTCTCCTATTATACCTTAGTACTAGCTGGTAAAAATCCATATTTTGTGATACTGTGTTTAGATACTTTTAAGAAAGGTCTACATGAACATTAAATGTACCAGGAAATCCCACCACAAAGATCCCTCTACACTAAATGATAGACATAGTCATTTCAGAAGCAACTTACATTCCTGAGATTAGTATTTAAGGTAATGGCAATTTCACAATCATCATTATAGGTAATTATTTCATTATACATTTTTACTTAATCAAAAGTTTTGGATACTTGCCTTTGAAGTTACACATACTTATGTTAAAATACAGAAAACCACTTTTAATTTTAAAAAATGAAAATACCTTGTAGGGAAGTCTGTAAGGTGCATGAAAATCCACACCACAGAATCTCAAGATACACCTTGGGCAGGTACCAGTATTGAGCAACACTTGGGCCACATACTTGTTTTCTTCACTCAGTGGAAACATATTGAGTATGATAACTGGAAAAGAGGAAAAACTAATGAGCAGCTTCCTAGGTTTACTGTCACAAACATCCTTAGGGATGTTATCATCCTTAGGGATTAAAGTCTAGTGTGCGTGTGCATATGCTTTTGTGTGTGTGCTCACTACTGGCGATTGAACCCAGGACCTTCAGACTCAGCTACATCCCCAGACCTTTTTAAATTTTGAGACATGGTCTTGCTACATCACTACACTGTCCAGGATGGGCTCGAACTTACAATCCTTTTCAGCCTCATCTTCCCAGAGTGCTAAGATTACAGGTATGTGCCACCATACCTGGCTTCATGCCTTTTTCTTTATGTGCCTGTTCTAAAATAAAAATCTGGGGCCAAGGATTTAGCTCAGTGGTATAATCCCCTGCCTGGCAAGCGTGAGGTCATGAGTTCGATCCCTGGTACAAAAAAAAAAAAAAAATAGGAATCTGAAGGAACTTTATGGGTCAATTGTAGCTGTATTCCCAGCTACTCAAGGGGGTGAGGGAAAAGGATCATTTGAACCCATAAGTTCCAGGCCATCCTGGGCAGCAGAAGGAGATCTCATCTCAAAAAACAGATGGATCATTAGAGGCCTGTACAATGCAATTGATCAAAAAAAGAATGGTTGCTTCTTAAGAGACATGAAAATAAGAGTGAAATCTTGTGTTTAATTTTGTACCATTCAATATTGTTTGAGTACAGAATAGTTAATTCATTACATTTTTCCTGTTAGAAATTAAAAATGAGGGTCAGGGATATAGTTCAGCAGCACAGCACATGCCTGGCAAGCACAAGGTTCTGAGTTCAATTCCTAGTACCGTTCTCCAAAAAGTTTTAATTAAATTTAATTTAAAATTAAATTAAAATGAGTTTGCTGGGGAAAAAAAACTTTTGCTAAGTGCTTGGAATATAGCTCAGTGGCACAAATGCCTGCCTGGCAAGTCTGAGGTCACGAGTTTAATCCCTGGTACCAAAAAAAAAAAAAAATCTTTGCTAGAAAAGATCAGTCTGCATTACATAATATGTGGCCAGTCTTAATGATAGTTTAGTAGTCAGATATTTAAAATAGTCCAAAACATGGGTCAAAAACATGAACTTTGACACTATAGTTAAAAAGTAACTGTTAGGGGCTGGGGATTTAGCTCAGCAGGCATAAGCGCCTGCTTCGAGAGCAGGCAGTTGTGAGTTCGATCCCTGGTACCGATAAAAAGGAAAAAGATTTAAAAAAAAAAAAAGTAACTGTTAGAAAATGAGAAAAACTTGATCTACCTATTTGGAAAATCTCCAACAAAATTTATACAAAATATTTGAGACTATTATCTGCCTAAAATGTTGCCAAATGTTCCAATTTGAACAAACTGAACAAGAAAAAAACACTATGTAGAAAAGGGAGGAAATCAAATATAAATCTCGTTTCCAGGAGAGTACTAAAATTTCATATTCTACATTTTGCACAAATAGGTCTGATTAGTGAATTAGTCCACATTATTTTAAATAATAAACTACTAACATTTTATAAAACAATAATTGCATTGCAGTGTTGTGGAATCATATGAATGTCACCACATAGATAATGACACCAGCACCTTTTAATTTGTACAATTTCATAATTTGAATGAACCTCCTTAAAATTTATGGAAGACTGAAACTTACCAACAGTTATCTGAAGATGTGATTCTCATAATCAGTCTGTGCTTTCCAACCCTTAAACTCACTATTTACTTTTAAGTTTCTAATCTTTGGGGCAAATTAAGATAAACAGATCCTTGACACAAAGTATTGAGGAAGATACGTATATGAGTTCATAGACATCTTAACCATAAAAATCAATTTAACAGTCACTACTAAAAAAAAAAAAAGACTGGCTGGGTTCTAACTCATTAGTGTGAACATTTTTTTTGTTTTTGTTTTTTTGCTGACCTCAAACTCGAAATCCAGCAATACTATTATTCTTTATTCAGAGTGATTTTAGCCTGCTTTGGTTTGTTTAATCTCAACATAAATGAAGATATGGATAATTGGATGTATGTTTAAGTGTATAGGATTGATAACCATATTACTAAGTTTTTGTTGGATAGTTGAACAGAAACGTTTGTAGTCTCGCTGTTTGAATCCCCACTTTGTATGTTTCACTTTTGTATTTTTTTTATCACTTTTGTATCTTGAACAACTATTTGTAGGAGGACAATATGTAATCATCAACTAGTGATTTCTTATTGTTTATTTTTTCTTTGAAAGTATGTATTATTTCTACCCATTTTCTGTTTTGTTTAGTCTTTCTTTAAATAAAATTTTAAAAAAAGAAGAAGAAAAAAGTCCACCAACTCGGACTGGGAACAAAGGCCCAGCTGTGGTTGTCTTCAGGGCATCATATGCCCTTGCCCTGTTCCCAGCATCCATGCAGATTCGAGGTCTTGGGCGCTCTGGGGTGGACGTTCTCATAAACTGTTTTTAGGTTCTATGCATGCATGAGCCTTAATGCGTATTTCTATCCTTTCTATATTAGAGGGAGAAACAAAACAAAGCAAGACAAAACAAAACATATTCCTATAAACACATGAAACAAAAAAGACACATAAATACACTATACAAGTTCTACCATGGTTACTGTGTTGTCTCTTGTTATCTTCAATAGAATTGTCTATATCATCAGACATAGTATAATTGAATACAGCAGTATATAACAATATGAATAAAAACACAACTTTGAAGATAGTGTAAAACTTCAAAAACAGGTAGTAATCAAACCAGAATGGGTATCGCAGTGAATCTTGTCATCTTCAGTATAGTTGCCTATATTCTCAGTTTTTCTGCCATTAGTTGTCTGCTTTTCTTCTTTATTCCACTTTCTGCTCCATTCATTGAGGCCTCTCTGCCACTGTTCCTGGAATGCTGGTACTTTTCTCTCTCTCTAGAATGTCCTTCAGTATTCTCTGTAGAGTTGGATTGGTGGTCGCAAATTCTGCCAGTTTTTCTTTGTCTTGGAAGCATCCTGTTTCTCCATTGATTTCTAGAGACAGTTTTACAGGGTACATCAATCTGGGATGAAAGTTATTTTCTTTCAGGGTTTGGAATACTTCACTCCAAGCTCTTCTTGATTTGATGGTCTGTGTCAAGAAGTCTGCCATGATTTTGATGGGTTTTCCTTTATAGGTAATGTTTCTTTTCTCTGATGGCTTTTAATATTCTGTTGTTATATTGACTTTCTGGGCTCTTGATTATTATATGCCTGGGTGTAGCTCTGTTTTGGTTGTAGGTGGCTGGAGTTCTCTATGCCTCATACATCTAAATGTCATTTTCTTTTCCTATGCTTGGGAACTTTTCCTTAATTATTTCTGTGAATAGCCTTTGTAGTTCTTTTGTTTGTACCCCTGCTTCTTCATTCATATTCTTTATTCTTAAGTTATTAGATCCTCTTGTCATTTTTTAGCCTTTGTATTGTTACTGCTTGTTTCCTTGTTATTTTTAAGAAATTTTTCCTTTCATGATCCCACGATGCAAACCTGTCTTCCAGTTTGAATAATCTATCCTTAGTTTCTTTCAAGCAGTTTTGCCAGCTTTCAATGGAGTGTTTTATTTCCTGGTAATCTCTTTGAATCTGCTTCATGTAGTCTAGGTTTTCTTTATATTTTTCATCAAATGTTTCTCTCCTTTTTTTGTGCTCCTCCATTTTTCTGTGTCTTCTTGAGAAGTGCTTAGCATTTCTTGTATAAATCTGCTTATATCTTGCTTTACTTGATTAAATATTTCACTTTTGAACTTGTCTATGAGAAGATATCTCCTTTATGTCCACTGATGCTGTGTCTGATATTGCATGTTTGCTATCCTCAATCTCTTTTATATTTAACTCTCCTGGATCAATGTTCTCAGTGTTGGGGGCTGGGGAATTTTTCTTGTTGCTTCCTCTTCTCATATTTTTTGTTTCTTCCATACAGGCATATAGAGGAGGTCCCAGTCCCTTTCCTGGTTGGTTACAGTTCTTCTGAAGTGCGCTGGCTAGTGTAAATGTTTTAGTAGTAGAGGAAAGGAAGAAAGTCAACTTTGTCTGGACACACCAGTAAGAACTTTCAGATGCCAGGATTAGGAAACACTTATTCAGTGTTCCCTAAATAAATATGGGAACATATATTCAAGAGTATTTTCAAGAAAGTACATAAATACAAAGACACACTCTTAAATAATGAAATCTGTGTGGTCAGATCATTATTTTTTTTTTTTTTTTTTGCCTTTTGTCTTTTTATCGGTACCAAGGATCGAACTCACGACTGCCTGCTTGCAAGACAGGCGCTTATGCCGCTGAGCTAAATTCCCAGCCCCCAGTCAGATCATTATTTACAAATGATCTGAATCCCTTCCCCAAGCACACTTGATCTGTTAATTTGCATATAAGCATTTAAAGCACATCTCAGTTGGGTGAGCTGGCACACCCTTTTAATCCTAGTGAGCTCAAGGCCAGCCTCATGTTTCAAAGAAACCAAAATTAAATAAAGCACATTCCCTGCACCACTCCCCTAGGAGAAAGTAAACTATGACTCAATCTCCCACCACCGTGTGTGTGTGTGTGTGTGTGTGTGTGTGTGTGTGTGTGTGTGTGTGTGTGTCTCCTTCTCTGTGGGTGGGAGGTGGGAGTGTGGCTCTGGGAATTGAACCTAGGGCCTTTCTGCGATGAGTTCCAACCCCATTCCTTTTTCTTTTTTAAAATGGATGTCTCACTAAATTAATTTCACAGGCTGAGTTGGAATTTTCACTTCTCCCTCAGTCTCCTGAGATTACATGCATGCACCACTGTGTCCAGCTAATCTTTTAAATTATGAAATTATTTTTTCTCCTTCCCATTAGTTAATATCAAGAACGATTTAATTCAGAATTAACCTTTAACTCAAAGAGAAACAATACAACTTCTTCCAATAAACAAATCAATAAATGTGGTAAAGGATCACTTTGTAGAGAAGCTTTTCCAGGGGTCTTAAAATAGCTACACTCAAATTATGTTCTCTCTCCTGGGGCTTCACTGAATGTTATTTCTCCAGTATGTTCCCTAGAATAAAAAGGTCACAACATTGACAAACAATCCATGAGGTTCTTCTGGTTCTGAAAAGTTCCCAAACCTGTTTAGAATTACAAAACCTCCTGTCCTGAGTATTTTGAAATTTAAAACAAATTTCAAACTTTCTTGAGTGTGTGTGTGTGTGTGTGTTAATAATTAGAGCTACAGATTTAGCAATCTTTAAAAACCATTTTTGCATAGCAGGAATCTTGCCTGTTCTTAATCACGTTACTATTAAAAAGGTAAAAATGTCTAAAACTTTGCTTCATCTTGATGCAACGAAATGATAGGACTTCATAAAGAAATTGTTTCATTTTTATTTTTTAAAGCAAGTCTTGAGATGTGTGTCTCATGCCGTCAGTTTTCCAGCGCTGTTTACCGCTGTTACGATTTTTGCTCTTTGCGTGTTTGCATTACAGAAAGAAATCTAGAACAAGCTGCATTAGCACTGCCTCCCACTTGTCCCTACAGGATCGATGCTAAATCTCTTCTCCATAAGTCAACCATAACTAGCTGAGTCGTCGATTAAATGGGAGAGGAAGGATTTTTCACCTTTCAATTACAGAAACCATTCATTGAAAAGAAAAAAACCAGAGCATGAGAAAATCCACCAAAATGACCAAAGTGAATCTGACACCGCGGGCTCTTTTAAAATCCATTTCCATACACACGGATGTCATTCCTCCCATGGCGTGCAGGTAGGGTGTGGATTTCCAGAGTCAGAGGTACTCAAAATTTCAACGGATTCAAAGTTAGCTTTGGAATCTATCCTGGGCTCTTGGAAAGTGCATCCCAAAATCTATCCCCGTGTCTGTGTTCTGGTCAAGCAAGACCTTACTCACTTTGATCAAGAAACTTCCCACTCACCCCTCTCGGTTAATAAAGCCGCTCTACCAAGAGAAAAACAGACTTCCTCTTATCACACCTCTCTTGCACCCAGTTACCCCTCACCTGAAAACCTACCGCCTTACCTTCTCCCAAGCTGAAGGAGCCTGGCATTTAACCCCTTCCGGCTCTCAGAGGGACTGGGGAAGACTAAAGACAACGCACCTATTGCGTCTAGCAATTCTGTTCCCCTAAGAAACGAGAGCTGTAGAACAAAAGTACTCCCCTCCCGAGAGAAATGAGTGGCCTTTCCTGGCTTGTCTGGAGGGAAATCTGAAAAAACGGCCCGGTTTGCAACCTCACACCCCTAGCTACCTTACGAACGCTACAGTGCTTAGGGCTTTACCCCAGCCGGCGCAGTGCAGCGCCTGAGAGGCCTCTGTGGGACTCAGTGTCTAGGACATTGTAGCCGCAACCAGAAATATCGATGAGCCCTTCCCCTCAGATTTAGAACCGAAACTGTAGTCTAGGACCACTAAAAGGAGAGTGTTTCCTCCGGTAAGCTCATAGTATCCGCTCACCCTCTGGCCTCAGCTGGAAAAATACCACACTGAGACCTGCTTCGCAGGAGGGGCTGGTGGAGGGCTCGGTGCTCTTCTTATTACGCCTGGCTCGCGTCGGCCGTGCACCCTGCCCTGAACAGTCCCGGCCGCGGCTTGGAGCCGAGAGGTGGCTGAGATGGCGTCCCAGCCGCCGCCTCCTCCGAAACCCTGGGAGACCCGCCGAATTCTGGGGGCCGGGCCGGGGCCGGGGCCTGGCCCCACTTTCCAGTGAGTTGGGATTCTTGAAGGCGCGAATTGGGCGGGTCAGAGCGGGGACTTGGTGGGAGGCGGTTGAGGCCGTTACCAGGGAAGGCTGTGGCGTCCTGGCTTGAACTGGTTCCCCACCTTGGATCCGGACGGGATGGATCTGAGATCCGGACGCCTACGGAGGGAGTTCATTATGACTCGTTTCTTGTGTGGGAAGTACGGTTCTTCGGGAGCTGCTGGGCGGCTGTCTCGGTGCAAGGGCTTGAAAGAAAAGGGGGCGGATTCTTCCCGGTTTCTGTTTGCGGGACATTGGCAGAACTGCCAGATCCCCATTACACTCGGCCCTGTTACAGTTGAGAGCGTCTGCCTGGTCTGGATAGAGAGCAAAAGTCATTCGTAAAAGCTGTTTACAACTTCTCAAGAAGTTGGTAAAAGCCCAAAAGGTCACTTGTACGCAGTCTCAAACCAATTACACAGCGTGCTTTTCAAGCATAATTCAGCTGATGTTTCTGGCTGAGATTTGGAGAAGTTGCTCTAAAACAGGAACTCTAAATCTGTGCGTGATCTATAAATTGAAAACATTACCTAATTTATTTATTTATTTACTTTGGAGATAAAGTCTCCCAGGGTAATTCAAACTGGCCTCTAACTCATTAGATAGCCCAGACTGGCCTCAAACTCACTGCAGTCCTCCTGCCTCAGCCTCCCTGGTGCTGGAATTACAGGTGTGCACCATGCCCGCTAATAACTACTTAATTTAATGATACATACAAAAGTAGCAAGCTTTAATTATGCTGTTAAGCTGGGGCAGCACTTTCTGCTACCATTTTAATGATTGATTCTGACTCCTCCCTCTAGACTTGGTTGGAAGAGAAAAGGTTTGTATTTCATCTGTTAAAGTTTTGTTTATGTAAAGTTAATCATTTTCTCACGTTTTGACTAGAAATTTTTAAAAACACATACAGACTGGTATAGGGTAAGATAATACCTGTATACTTACCTTAAATAATATTTGCACCCTCCTGTTCTTCTCTCCAGAGGTAACTACTGTCTCTCTTTGGTGTTCAGTGCATCCAATGATGTTTGTGTGCTTTAGAGTTTAAGTGTGTTGTTTTTAATATATAATCTAAAGTTGTAAAACATACTAGATAGTATATTTTTATATACTCACTTTTACTGTTGCCTACTCTGTTACTTAGCTTATCAATTTGCAAAAATATTTACTTATTTTTTAACACAGTCTCACTGCATAGTGCAGGCTGGTCTTGAAAAGCTCTATGTAGCTGAGACAAACTCAAGATCTTGCCTCAGCCTTGTGTGTGCTGCCATACCTAGCTCAAGAGCACTTTGTTATTTATATTTTTATTCATATCATCAGTCGGTAGCTTGTTATCTTCTAAACACTTACGTTCAATTTTTTGTAAAGATATTTTAATTTTATTTCCTGTTCTTTTTGTTTTAGATAAATTGCTTCTACCTAGATCAGAAAAAATTTTCTCTATATTTTTGCAGCACAAGGGATTGAAGCTGTGGCCTCATGCATGCTCTTTCACTGAGCCATATACCCAGCCTTAATTTCTTTAATTTTGAGACAAGTTCTTACCAAGTTGCTCAGTAGACCCTCAAACTTCTGGTCAGCCTTGCTCGTAACTGGGAGCTTCTGTTTTCTTTCGAATGTTCTGGTTTTCTCTTTCAAATCTTTAACTCACCAAGAAGTGACTTTGATGTACCAAAATCAGTGTAAAAGTAGGAAGTTTAATTTTTTTATGTGGATCAGCCTTACAAATCATACCTTTAAACATTGTTTGGGCATCTTTTTTTCCCAGCTTGTCAGTTAAATATGTCAGTATCAGGAAAAGTGTCTGCTATAAGTAACAATATCATACTGTGCCTTGTCCTATAAAGACATTTATTGTTTAGTTAGGAGTAAGGCCAGAGATCTGCTGTCTCAACATTATCATTAAGAAATCTTAAGTTTTTCTTAGCTTCCTTTTTTTTTCAATTTTCTGATGGTTTTAGCTATCCTTGTCTTACTTATGATTCTTTTAAAAAGAACATCTTAAAAAAGAAAAAAACTTTTTTTTCCCCCAATCTGGTTGGTTTCAAGATATTCTTGTTTTTGGTTTTCAGTAATCATACTCTTTTGGGTTTCCATATGTTTTTGTGTATGTTATTTTGTATAGAATTCATAGGGACACTTAAATCTGGGCTTGAAGCTTTTTATTTCAGAAAAATTTAGCCATTGTCCCTTCAAATATTACTTCTGCCTGTCTCATCACACCTTTAAAGTCAGATTACATTTATGTCAATCATGCATGCTACATCCTATAAACAACTAGCCATAGTTTATTTTGTGGGGTTTTCGGGGGAAGTTTTTTATCCATTGGTTGGTTTAGGGGTTTTTTGTTGTTGTTGTTCAGTTTTATTTTTTGTTTTAGAATTCCCATTTGATACTGCTTTATGATTCCTATTCTCTCCTGAAAAGAAATCTCAAATTTCTTTTCTTTTTTTTTTTTTTTTTTTTTTTAATCGGTTCCAGGGATCGAACTCACGACTGCGCACTTGCAAGGCAGGCACTTATGCCACTGAGCTAAATCCCCAGCCCTCAAATTTCTTTTTTAATAGTAAGCATAGTTTTTGTGGTTTTTTTGGTCTTTTTTTTTTTTTTTTTTTTTTTAATCGGTACCAGGGATCGAACTCATGACTGCCTGCTCGCAAGGCAGGCGCTTATGCCGCTGAGCTAAATCCCCAGCCCCGTAAGCATTGTTTTTTATAGTGTCTAATACCTACATGTTCTAAATGCTCTGTCAAACTCTTTGTGTTGTCTGATAGTGCTTTTTTTGTTAAAACATGTAATTTTGTCATCATAGAAATCCAGTTTTTTTTAATGGGAGCTGGACATTGTAATTTGAACCCTAGGTAGGTATCTTTCCTTCAGAGACTTTTACTTTTGATCAGCACCACAGGACCCTAGCAATCTAGGATTACTTTAATCCATTCAAGGATTGAGCTGATTTGAAGTTGTTCTTATCAGGGCTAGTCTCTTTCTTGTTAACCTTTTCATTCTTATTTCTAGCATATGGCCGTTTGAGTTCCCAGCCTAAGGTGCCATGCTTCTGTAGTCCTCTCCACAGTTCAGAACTCTAGCTTTTCTTCTTAGCCCAGGGAGGTGTTAAATGCTCTGCCCTCTTTCTCATCCTGTCAGTCATCTCTTCCTGAATTGGTCCTAAAGAAACACTGCAAAATGTGGAACTGATTCTTTTTCCCTCCTAGATCTTGACTCTAAAATTGCTTAATAGTAGGTGTGGTACGTGCCTGTAATCCCAGCACCAGGTTGAGACAGGAGGATCCTGAGGCAGGAGGATACCTGAGAGTTCAAGGCCAGCCTAGGCCGCATAATAAGTTCAGGCCAGCCTGAACTACATGGCAAAACACTGTCTCAAAAATAAAATAAAATAAAGTAGAATTGCTAGCCAGGCATGGTGACACATACTTGTAATCCCAATACTCAGGAGGCTGAGGCAGGAGGATCCTGAAGCAGGAGAATTGCCACACGTTTGAAACCAGCCTGAGCCACACAGAGAGTTCAAGAAGTACCTGAACTACGTGGTGAAACCTTGTCTAAAATAACTAAAGGAAAAAATTGCTTAGAGCCTTGCTCTCTGATGCTTTATTTTTTTCTCTAATGCTTTAAACATATTTCTAAGTTTTTTCTTGGTTTCCAAGGTGTTATCCATTGAAGGGATAGTCTGATTCTCTAGACTACTGCCATTACTTAAAGTAAAATTCCCAAATTCTGTTTTTCCTCTCTGCTCCTTAGTGTACAGCAACAATTTTCTTCTTGTCTTGCAGTTGCAGGATAGTTCCTGTGCCTGTGAGCATCATGTCTAAGATTTCTAATGGATTTTTTTCACATTTATAGGTTTTATGTCATGTGGCTTTTTCACAAATGACATTGCTTTGTTCATCTATTTGATAATTTTAAACCTCTAGATGTTTGCTTATATGAAATTAGTTTTTCCTTCATTGAGTTTTTATTGTTGATTGTGGTTTTGGTTTTGGTGGGTTTTTTGGTTTTTTGTTGTTGCTGTTGTTGTTGTTTGGAGTTTTTTGTTGTTGTTGTTGTTTTTGGTATACAGATTGAACTCATGACCTCATGTTTGCCAAGCAGGCACATATGCCACTGAGCTAAATCCCCCTCTCTCGGCCCTATTGTTGGTGTTTGTTGGCCTGGTTACTTAGTGTTTTTACTCCATGTCTGTGGCATTTTCGATAAGCTCATTTTGAGGAAGAATTTTAGAGGTGTTTTCTCTCCTTCCACATTTCGCTGTCTCACACTCTGTCTCTGTCTCTCTGTCTCTCTCACTAACAGGTTTTGTGTTGCCTCTGTCTGTCCCATTTGCACCCACTCTCATGTAGGAATTAGGTATGAAAACTGGGCTAATTAAGGATGTCACAGATCACCACCAAGTTAATAGCAGTGAACTTATTTTGGTACCCAGGCTTAAGACCATATCAGAGTCTCCCCTTAAGTCTGTAAGTTTATAAAAATCTGTTGACAGCAAATTTTATAATCTCTATTTAGGAATTAAAGTAGCATTGCCTAATTCCCAACCTCAGAAAGACTAATTCTATTTGTTTCTGTTATTTTCTAATATTAGTAAACCTAGTTTTAGCCTTCTTTCCTATTTACATTTCTTTTTAGTTTCTGTTCCACAAAAGTTTATTTTGTGTTAAATCTAGATACATCTGTTTTTCTGTCTTGTTTATTATTGCTTCTAATTAGGAGCAGAACTGGTTCATCAAAGCCTGAATGTACTACACTATTTGGCAGTCTCTTGACACTCTTGTAAACTTTGCTAAAATTAAAATACTGGGTTCAAGAAAAGAAAAAAATTAAGACTTCTGGTAACTTGTCTGCAACATTATCATCCGAGATAAATTTAAAACTTTAGCCTAAATTAGAAAATTATCGTTTCACAGTTATATGTGTAATACTAGGTAGAGATCATGAACGAATGTTAAACCATGAGCTGAACAAAATAAAATAATTAATTGTAGGGGACTGGAGTGTCATCCCACACATCAGAGGTCCCAAACCCCTTGTTAGGAACCAGGCCATATGGCAGTGTTATAGTTTTTGTCTAAATGTCCCCCCAAAGCCTCATGTAGTCATGGGAGGGGGGTCAGCTTTTCAGGGGTGAATGAAATCTAGATTTTGTGATTGATTCATGGTCCAATGTTGGAATTGCTACATCTGCCCAAGCCATATAGCCTTGCACGTAACATAAGGGACAGGAAGAGGCTTATCCCTTTCCCTTCTCTTCCTGCTTTTGCTATCTTCCACTGCCATGAACTGTTGTCCCTGTACTATGTGCCCCTCTGTATTGGAGCCAGCTGATTGTGGACTAAAACCTCTATAAACTTGAACTCATAACAATCTTCCTGCCTCAACCTCCTAAGTGCTAGGATTACAGGTGTGTGCCACTACACCTAGCCCAGATATTTTCACATGGCCAGGAAGCACATGAAAAGATTCTCAGCATTAGCCATCAGAGAAATGCAAGTGAAAGCATAGTGAGAGATCCACATCTTACTCACTAGATTGGCTGTAATAAAAAATAACAAGTGTTGGCTGGGTATTTAGCTCAGTGGCTCCAAGTGTCTGCCTCGCAAGCATAAGGTCATGAGTTTGATCCCTGGTACCAAAAAAAAAAAAAAAAGATTTTCAAAAAAATAATCAGTGTTGGCAAGGATGTAGAGAAACTGGAACTTTCACACAGTAGTGGTAGGAATATAAAACAGTGCAGTTACTTTGGAAAATAATTTGACAATTCCTTTAAATGTTAAACATGTATTTACCTTGTGATGCGGCAGTTTACTCCTAGGTATATACCCAGGAAATATGAAAACACGTGTCTGCACAAATCTTGTATACAAATATTCACAGTGGCATTACTCATGACAGCCAAAATGTAGAAATAGCACCGATGTCCCTCAACAGATACATGTGGATAAATATGATTAGCCAATAAAAAGTAATAAAATGCAAGTTATGTATCCAAAGTCCAGAAGTTTTGAGCACCAACATGACGTCACAGTGGGAAATTCTACCCTTGACCTTATTAGTTTTTGTTGCTAGGATAAATTACCTGACACTTGAAACTTAAAGGAGGAAAGGATTATTATGGTTCACAGATATAGAAGTTTCCATCCAATGTCAGCTGGCTTCCAGGCAGAAACATCATGGCCTAAGGCTGTAGTGGAATAAGTGGCCAACCTAGTGGCAAACAGGTTGGAGGGGGTCACAAGGGAAGAGCCAGAGAGAAAGGGGCCAGAGACCAAATACAGTTGCTAAGGTCACGTCCATGTGACCCATCCAAACACACCTAGAAATGTGCTTTACTAATCTCCTAGATATCTGTCAAGCCAGTCAAGATAACATTCAAGTTTAACTATCACATGTCCACTCCTTGTTAACGCAACACCCTACACATCTCTTTAAACCATATAGGCAATAACGTCAAAACTCTACCTAATATGATGTACCTATCGGGCATACAATCACAAGTGCTCTAATTCTTTTCCCAAAATCACAGTAATCCCAGCATCACTTAAATCCAGGGCTGGGATATAGCTCAGCAGCACAGCACCCACCTGACAAGCACAAGATCCTGAGTTTGATTCCTGGTACAAAGACAAGTTTTAAATCCGAAATCTTCTCTGAGACTCAAGGAAAACAACTGTGAACCCTTGTAAAATTAAAAAAGCAAATATTCCCAAGATACAGTAAGCTAGGGTCAGCATTCCAATTCAAAAAGGAAAGAATGGGAGAATTGAAAGGAATTAAACTAAAGTAAAACCAAAACTCAGCAAAATCAACATTAATTCCTGTGGTTCCATGTTTGGCATCTAGGGCCCATAGTGGTCAGATGTGAGTTCTAGAGGAGTGTGTGTGTGTGTGTGTGTGTGTCTGTCTGTCTGTCTGTCTGTCTCTCTCTCTCTCTCTCTCTCTCTCTCTCTCTCTTTCTCTCTTGGGTTGACTCCATTTACCACTTACAGCTTTTCTTGACAGACATTTCACATTGCTGACATCTTCAACTTTATATCTACAGTCTTGTCTGTTACTTTTTTACTGGTTGCTGAGACAAAATACCTGACACCCAAAGTTAAGGAAGGAAAGGTTTATTTCTTACAGTTCTTGGAGGCTTCAGTCCATACTCAGTTGGCTCCAAGGCAGGGTAGCATGGCAGGGCAGCCATTCATGGCCGCTGCAGACACCAAGGTGCAAAACAGTAAGAGAGAGTGACACACACCTTCTTCCCGCCATTACATCGCATCCTGGCTCCACCCTCAGGCAGGTGTAGTACTCACAACGCCAATCTGAGCATTAGACAATGAACCAATCACAAATGTTAGATTTGGTGAGTCCATAATAGCATGAGGCTTGGGGGCCACTGACCTAAACCATGACAAGTCTCCATTACAGCTTAGGCCTCCCTTCCATAGCTTTATCCATCCCTCTTTCAGGGGCTGCTGTAAGAACTTTAATTCCATCACATGTTGCCTGTCCTCTCAGGCCTTCCTATGAAGTCTGGGTGGAAGTTTCCACAACCCTATAAGTCGTATATTCTGCATCCCTGTAAAACCAGCATCACATAGATGTTATCATGGTCTGCCACCAACTCAAGCAGGAGCCAGGTCCCCTTGAATGATAGTTGCAGTGGCTTCTCAGTAACTGGACAGCTGAGTACAGTGAAATAAATTCTAGGGGAACAATTTAATAGGGAGCTTTATAGGAGCAGGTACCCTACCCCCTTTTTCTCAAAGCAGTCTGTCAAAGGATTGTACACTTTTATACCCCTTTGCCTCTGATTTGAATGGTCTGGCTAATTCCTTATATGCCCTCAAGGCATCTTTCTCTTTGTCTTAGAGTTCTTGGTTGTTTCTCCTCTTTCCTCTTCCCCTTTCCTTCTTCCTCTATCCTCCTTTTTGACAGGGTTTCTCTGGGTAGTACAGACCTGCTTTGGCTTTGAACTCAGTATGTAACCCAAACTGGCTTCAAAATCATGATAATCCAGCCTTTTAAGTGCTGATATTACAGGTGTAATCCACAGCACCTGACATTTGGCTTCTTTTTAGTGGTACTAATCTCTTCAACAGTCATTACCTTCTCTTATGGCCAAACTGCAAGTTTATCAAATATTTGCTTTGCTATTTGCTGTCAATCTTCACTATACATCTGGCTAAAGCAACTAGCTATACCCATGCTACACCCGTGGACATTGAGCCACCTTGAAATTTTCACCCCCAGGTAACGTCTGTCACCTTTAAACACAGCCTCACAAAATCCTAGGGCATGGACTGTACAAAAACAAGTTACTTGCTAAAATGTAGCACAATTGACTTCTAGTCCAGTTGCCAATAGAAAACTCATTTCCATCTGAAACCTCATCAGCTTAGTCATTAGTGTCTGCATTCCTATCAGCAGTTAGGTCTTCTGAGCTCCTTCTAGAATCATGCTCTGGTTACAGCATTTTAGAACTTCTCTAGCACACATTTCTGTGTGTTTCCCCACTTTAAATTAGTTCCAGAGGCTTCTGAACTACTTTGTTGGTCAGGTGTGATCACTACAGTGGCCCCTATCCTGGCACATACCAGTTTTCTGTAATAGTCAACTTTGTGTTACTGGGACAAAATACGTAACACCCACAACTTAAAAGAAGGAGTAAGTTATTTTGGCTCACAGATTCAGATCCAGTCCGGTGTCACCTGGCTCCCAGCCAGAAGCATCGTGACCAAAAAACAGAGAGGAAGGGGCCAAATACCCCCCATGACTACCCAGAAACACCCAAAAGTGTAGTTTACTGATCTCCTATGTGTTTCAAGCCAATCTGACAAGATAAACCATCACAGACTTCCTGTGATAGTTTAAAAACAGAGTACACTACAAACATTATACAGAATTGTAATTAATCTTGAGACAATGAGTAAGTGTCTTTAAAAAGAACCTATAACTTGAATATAATGTTAAAAGAATGCCAACATGAGTAAACTACATAACAGGTGGGTATTGGAGTACTGGGTATCAGAGACAAATCCGTACAGTAGTCCTCTTCTTCACCGTCAACGATACACTGCAAAACCACAATGGATCCCTGAACCCACTAATAGTACTGAACCCCATTATCAACAGTTTTTTTTCTACATACTACCTACGATAAAGTCAAATTTTAAAATTAAACACAGTAAGCAATAACAATAACATAATGTACTACGATATGATTGTGGTCTGTTTCTCTCTCAAAATATCTTACACTACTGTGGTAACCACAGTTGGCTGTGAGTAACAAACCATGGAAAGCAGAGTCGCAGAATCAGATATGGATGACTGTCCTACAACATCTTTAGTAGGATCTGTCATAACAGTAGACATACAATAGATCTTTAATAGTTACTTGGAATTGTTTATTACACTTGATCTTAGCCAAAAGGCCAAAAAACAAAGAGTTGGGTTAGTTATGCACTTAAATAACTATTTTAAATTTGTTTTGTTTTAGATCTGCTGACTTGGGCCCTACTTTATTGACGAGACCTGGACAACCAACCCTTACCAGAGTGCCCCCACCCATCCTTCCAAGGCCATCACAACAGACAGGAAGCAGCAATTTGAACACTTTCAGACCTGCTTACAGTTCATTTTCTTCTGGATATGGCTCCTATGGAAGTTCATTTTATGGAAGCTATAGCCCTTACAGTTATGGGTATAATGGTTTGGGCTATAACCGCCTCCGTATAGATGATCTTCCTCCTAGCAGATTTGTTCAGCAAGCTGAAGAGAGCAGCAGGGGTGCATTTCAGTCGATTGAAAGTATTGTACATGCATTTGCCTCTGTCAGTATGATGATGGATGCTACCTTTTCCGCTGTCTATAACAGTTTCAGGGCTGTACTGGATGTAGCAAATCACTTCTCTCGACTAAAAATACACTTTACAAAGGTATTTTCAGCTTTTGCATTAGTTAGGACTATAAGATATCTATATAGACGGTTACAACGGATGATGGGTTTAAGAAGAGGCTCTGAGAATGAGGACCTGTGGGCAGAAAGTGAAGGAACTGTGGCTTGCCTTGGTGCTGAGGACCAAGCAGCTAACTCAGCAAAATCCTGGCCAATATTCTTGTTCTTTGCTGTTATCCTTGGAGGTCCTTATCTCATCTGGAAACTGCTGTCTACTTACAGTGATGAAGTACCAGGTAAGAAGAGGAGAACTAGTTTAGAAGTCATGTAACAACTTGAAATTTCAAAATAGATTTGTTAAATTCGCATCTTTATACTCTTTATTTACTATCTTCATCCAGTTTTATTTTGTTAAGCACTTAAAACTAGGAGAAGAGAATGTAGCAAAGATGAGCTTGTTGATTTATGTGTTATTTGTTCAGTCTAACTGTACACATTACCTAACCACTATCTCTGGTATACTGAATTTGGTACTGTAGAGGATACAAAGATACATGAATAGAGGATAATCCCCATTTTCTAAAACTGGTTGGAAGGAAGTAGTTCAGACACATATAGTATATGAGTAATTAAAATGAGGCAGAAAGGCCAGTAAGGGTTAAAATAGTTGGGAAGAGACATAAGGTTTCTAAAGTCTTTTTTCTTACAGTACAATGTGCTGGATATTTTGTGCATTTTAATCTCGTGTAATTGTTTCAGTAACCCAGAGAGATAAGAATTAGCCTTATTTTGCAAGAAAACTGAGGTTCATTCTCTAAGGTTCATTGATTTGTCCAAAGTCAGTATCTTTAATAAGCATCAGAAACATGTTAACTTCATAGCATTGTCAACTTCTACAGAGAACTACAAAAGTGCAACTCACATTTTTGTCAATGGTATCGAGGAAGAAATGGCATCTGAGTTAGCTGTTGGGAAATAGGAACATTTTATCAGAAAAAAAGCTGAGGATGTAGCTCAGTGTAGTACACTCAATTGCATAGCATCATGAGGCCCTAAATTTGAGTGTCCAGGACTATGAAAAAAGGAAGAGACTTTCAGGCAGATGAAATAGCTTGAACAAAGTATGGGGGTGGGGGGGATTTGTTTAGCATTTGTCCTATAGTACTAAATAGAAGGACAGTAAGAAAAAGGGCTAAAAATTAGGTGGAAGATCTTAATTTCCATTATGAGACTTAATTTTCATTTAGTAAGGAATGAATGTCTTTTGTGTTTTTTTAAAGCGCACTGTGAGATATAAATAATAATGCTCTGAAGACTTCAGTCCGGCAGGTAGAACAATAGCTTATTGGTAGACCACTCACTTAGCATGCTCAAGGCCATACTCATGATTCCCAGCTCCAGACAACAGTCAAAAAAGAAAAAATGTTGGGCCAGTAATACAGCTCAGTGGCACAGCACCTGTCTAGCAAATACAAGGTCCTGAGTTTGATTCCCAGTACCAAAAAGTACATTTTAAAAAAAGTAAAGTTTAGTATATTTGAAGTGTTTGTTGTATGTCAGTGGAGATTAAAACAAGTTGCAATTAGATGGTGAGATTTATAAAAGGTTTAGATTTTCTCCTTTGTATTCATAATACCTAATCTTTTTGATTCATAGAAGATGCTTAATATTTCTTAATTTAGGGACATCAGTTCCATTACTCTTACATTAGGCTGATGAGAAATAATGAAGGTCCAAATGAGAATGTGAGAAGCAGGAATGATATAATAGATTCATTGAATGTAGTCACTGGTTAAATGTGATACATAAAGGGAAAAAGAATCAAAATGCCCTTAGCTTTTACACTTGGGCTAATCAAAGGATGTTTCCTTCATTAATTCAATCAGTGTTTGTTCAGTGTCTAATATATGCTAGATGCAGTTCTCTAAGAGGGATCTAGTGGTAAATAAAACATTTTTATAATTCTGTCCTGTGGCAATCTAATGGTGGGATACAGTTTTAAAGAAAAGTAAACTATATAGTAATTCAGAACGTAATATGAGCTATAGGAAGAAAAAAATCAAGAAATGCTTTTTAATGGTTTAAAAAGAAAATTTAAAAATGGATACATCATCACAGCAAATTTCCTTACTATTATAAAACAGAAAATGAGAACCAGGCATGGTGACACACACCTGTAAATTCAGCACTCAGCACTGAGGCAGGAAGATTGCCAAGTTCCACACTAGTTTGGTGGTGCATGTCTTGTCTTCCCACCTCAGCACTTGGGAAGCTGAGGCAGGAGAACTGCCACGAGTGAGGCCAGCTCAAGATACCTAGTGAGTTTGAGATTGCACTGAACTACATAGTGAGCCCCCCTGTCAAAAAAATGGGTGGGAAGGGGCTGGGGATTTAGCTCAGCGGCATAAGTGCCTGCCTTGCAAGCAGGTGGTTGTGAGTTCGATCCCCAATACCGATAAAAAGAAAGAACAAAAAAATGGGTGGAAATGAAGCTGCAACCAAAATGCATGTGTATCTAATATATGGGCAATAACTAGTGGAATGTCTGCCTTTTTGTTTTTCAAGTTTTAGTAACCTTGTCTTAATTCTTAATTTCACTTACAGACAACACCAACTGGGCAAGTGGTGAGGATGACCACGTAGTTGCTAGAGCAGAATATGATTTCACTGCAATGTCTGAAGAAGAAATTTCATTCCATGCTGGTGATATGCTAAACTTAGCTCTCAAAGGTAATAAATTACGAATAAATTGAAATCATCTCTAATATTTATAGATTTTTAATATTAAAAACTACAGCAAAGCATTTTGTTCATTGCTAATGTGGAGGCAGTTAACTAAAATGTCTATGTCAGCTTAGATCTTCCAAATCTAAGGCAGTCAGAGAAACCTCAAAAGAATAATTTCAATAATATTTTGCTGAGATAGGAAAGATTTCTATTATTTTCTCTTCTAAAGTCAACACACTTGAATTTCAAACTCTGTTAATCCCCACACAAAAACATGGAATAATAAATGTAACAAATCCAAGGGAATGCTGAATACCAGCTGTAGAAAACTGCATTATGAGTATTTTTAAAAGTATTGTCATGAAGTATTAGAGAACTTTAGAAATTTATGTACCTCTCGGATTTATTTTTGGACCAGGTCACTAATAGTTCTGAATGGCCCACAAACAAAATGACCTTTCCATTCATCTTTCTCCTTTAAGGATGACAAGGAGTTGTAGAGGGGTGGTTTGGTTTGGTTTGGGTTGGGTTGGATTGGGGTTTTGGGGTTTTGGGTGTTTTGTCTGCTTAAGACCAGGGTTTCACGATGTGCAGTTAGGCTGTCCTTGAGCTCAGGCTATATCCCCGGCTGCCCTCTAATTCACACTGATCTACTGCCAAGTGCTAAGATTGCACCACAAGTGGCTGATTTTTGTTTCTTAAAATTTTGTGTGTTTGTGGAAATACACGTTGCAGAAAGTCCCAAATATTATCGTACTCCCATTTTGCACATGTGGAAACTGCGACTCACAGTGGAGTAAGGTGTCCAGTTTCGCAAAGCTAAGATACGGTAGAATTGGTTTGTTTAACTTCAGAGCCTGTGCTTTTAACCACTTTGGCTAACTTTTCCATAAAAATAGCTGTTAATGGCAACTTCAGTGTCTCGCTGGTGTTAGTTCTCTTTTTGCACAGCACAAAAATACCTTGAGTCATTTGAATAGTTTAGAACACATTGCTAAAACTCTGCCTCATCCTTTCATGTATAAAACCAAGACTTCTAAGTATTATATTTGTGTCTTCCAATGAATATAACAATTTACTGTTTTGGATCTCAAATGAAGGGTTTATTTTTAAGGTGTGTTAGAGATGGGAACAACACTGATAATTATTTTCCAGTTAATCTAAAGGATAAAGCCAAAACTGGGCCTGGGTGTGGTGACACGTGGCTATGCCAGCACTTGGGAGACTGAGGCAGAAGAATCTGGGCCAGCCTTGAATACTAGTCTGAACTGAATAGTGAGCCCCTGTCTGAAACAAAAAACTTAAAAGTTAAAAAAAAAAAAAGAATAAAACCAAGTAGGGTTTCTTTCAATTACATTGTATTTCAGAATGAAATTTATATCTCATTATTCTTCAGCTATATTAGTGTCTTTTAACGCCTTGGCTTTACGCCTTTGCTGTCCTCCTTCACATAAAGAAAGTATGTTTGAACATTGAAAACAACATGAGCTGCAGACATGGTTAATTTGTGTTACTTAAGTGGAAGAGTCTTATTAAGTATTAAAGATTAATTTAAAATGTTAATCCAAAAATTGTGAGTTTAGCAACTTTTTAAAGATAAGGATAAAGCCAAGCATGATGGCTCATACCTGTAATCCTAGTAGTCGATAGGCTGAAGCAGGAGGATCATTGTGAGTTTGAGGCCAGCCTGGGTTACAAAGTAAGTTCAAGACCAGCTTGAACTGCAAAATGAGACCCTGTCAGAAAAAGACAATAAATAAAGATAAGGATAAAAATAGATGGAGAAGTGCCATATGGAATTGAATATACAACTATTACTAAATAATTTTCTTATTTTAAGCTTAGACTATTGCCTTTAACTTTTTGTATTTTAGCTAGAGATAATTGGAGTCTTCAAGATTTTGCCCATCTTGAGTTAAAATTAATAGTATCAGTTTTCAGGATTGTTTCTCAAAATAATATGAAATGAATTTTATATTTTGACCAAGTATGTAAAGAGAGCTGACTTTCCTCCTAAGTGCTGGGATTACAGGCATGATGGCACATGCTCTAACCCTAGCACTCTGAGAGGCTAAGGCAAAAAGGATGGCAAATTCAAGCCCAGACTGGACAGTGTAGCAACTTAGCAAGATCCTGTTTAAAAATTAAAAATTAAAAAAGGAACCAGACATGATGCCACACACCTGTAATCCCACCACTTAGGAGGCTAAAGCAGGAGGGTCTCCATGAATTTGAGGCCAGCCTGAACTATAAAGCAAGACCTGTCTCAAAAACAACAACAAACAAAAACAAAAATTATTAAAGTTTGGGGAGGGCCAGGGGCTTAGCTCAGCAGCACAAGTGCCTGCCTGGCAAGCACAAAGTCGTAAATTGGATCCCTGGTACCAAAAAAATAAATAAAGTTTAGGGATATAGCCCGGTGTGAAGGCCCTGGATTCAATCACATACACATATGAACTGACTGCAAATTGACTCTTTTATCCTTTAAATATTTTATTTATTTATGTATATATATATATATATTTGTTTATATATGCTTAAAAGCTAGGTATGGTGCTATGCCTGTAACACCAGCTACTTGTATGACTGAAAAGCATTGCTTGACCCCAGAAATCCAAGACCAACCTGGGCAATGTAAGAAAAATGTATCTCTTTAAAACAAAAAAGATTATACTTATTTTCTATACTTGCCCAAAATTATTATTGAGAAGGAATGAAATAATCATTTCTTAAATTCCAATTTAAAATATGAAACGTATGATGTCAATATTCAGCTTATGAAGGATGGAATCTCCATACCAAATGAATGAACCAACTATTATAAACTTTATGTTCTTCAGGATAGAAAAAACTTAAAAATATAAGTTATCAGAGTAGATCTGAAGCCAAGCTTGGTGGTACCTACCTGTAATCCCAGTTACTGAGGAGGCTGAGGCAGGATGACCACTTGAGCCTATTAACTGAAGACCAGCCTAGGCAACAGAGTAAGACTCTTTTTTTTGTTTGTTTGTTTTTGGGTTGGGTTTGGTTTGGTTTGGTTTTTTGAGACAGAGTCTTGCCATCTAGTTCAGTCTGGCCTTGAACTCACTGTGAACCAGGCTGACCTCAAATTTGCAGTGATCCTCCTGCTCCAGCCTCTTCCGTGCTAGAATTACAGATGTGTGCCACCACGCCCAGCAGACATAGGACTGTTAAGCCTACCTAGCATATTCAATATACATGCATGTCTGTTTGTTCATTTATTTTATTAAAGTATAACAGATGTTACATGATGTATTTTATCATTAATGTTCTGGTGGACCTCCAAAGTGTGTTATAATTACAAGACTGTCTTTTTTTTTTCCCATCAGAACAGCAACCCAAAGTTCGTGGTTGGCTTCTGGCCAGTCTTGATGGTCAGACAACAGGACTTATACCTGCAAATTATGTTAAGATTCTTGGTAAAAGAAGAGGTAGAAAAACAGTGGAAGCAAGTAAAATATCCAAGCAGCAACAATCTTTTACCAACTCAACACTAAATAAAGGAGCCACAGCTGCTGACTCTTTGGATGAACAGGAAGCTGCTTTTGAATCTGTTTTTGTTGAAACTAAGGTTCCAGGTGCACCTGATTCCACAGGGAAAAGTGGAGATAAACAAGATCTCTGATATCTTTGATTTTTGTGGGCAGTTGAACAATATTTGAGTACTTTTTAAATTATTTCATACAAAGAAAATAACCTGCAATTTAGTAAAAAAAATTTTGTTATTGGCTATTTCAGGCATTTTGCTGCTAGAAATTATTAAAAGTTATACATTAGTATATTGGCCTAGTAACCTGGTCACATTTATAATGTGTTGGACCATGAGGACATTAGTTTCGCCTAGCTTTAAGATTATGGAGATTGCTATCATTTTCACATATTTAAATCCCTTGGTTTATTGGAAGAAAAATATTTAATGAACTATATAGAATATATGGTTTGCTACAGGAGGGATCATTAATGATTCTTAAAGTTCTAGATTGACTTGAAAGCCTCAGAAATTGACTGATAACAAATGTTTATGAGAACAAGCACAAATGCAAAATTTTTACAACCTTAAACTGAATAATAAAATTTTTGTGACCTATATGATGTCCAGTGTTGGGTTTACTTTAGGTAGCAATGTTTTCACCCACAAACAGTTAATACTATTATCTTTTATTTTTAAATTTTTGTCTTGAAAAAATCACTAGAAACATTGCAAGGGAGATGGTTCTAGAATGATAGAAGTATACCTATTTTACAACATGACTAGTTTTTGTACTGAATTAATCAGAATACATGAAAAAAATTTTTTCTTCCACCTAAAACATCCTTTGACTTTTTACTTACTGTTATAACCAGTTCTAACAATAATGATTTTTAATCTTTTCATAGATTTCTCTGCTGTTACCTAGTAAAATTACTTTTTTGAATCCTATATTCAGGCTGTTCTTAAACATGTATTGCATTGGATACAACTTTTTTTTTTTTTTTTTGGTACTGAGGATCAAACTCAGGACCTTGCACCTGCCAAGTGAGTGCTTATGCCACTGAGCTAAATCCCCAGCCTCACATTTCTTTTAATTTTTAGTACTGAAATTCCAAATGCTGATTCCCTTAAAATATGATAATTGCTACTTAACTAGACTTGTTTTGTGCTAATGATTTTAAATTCAGCTAAATTTTAGTACACTGAATACTCCCCACAAGATTGGAAGATTTATATACTTGCTGTAGTTATACTGAAGATCATTGCTCTCACTAATATAGTTTGCAAAAAAATTTTAAGAGATTATTGAAAGCTGAACTTTTTATTTAGACTGATTTATTTTTTATCTTTCATATAGGTTTATGTTTATCAAATAAGTAATTGTAGAATTCAGACTAAACAGTATCTGGCCAAATATAAACCCAGCATAAAATATTATTAATAAAATCATATTGGGAAGTCCTTCCTTAAAATACAACCAAATAAGCAAAAATCATTTACAATAGGAACCTTGACCTTGTACAGAAAAGTACAGTAAAGTGATTTATCTTAGTCCTATTTTTCTAACACCTAGGTTTTAGCCCTCAAGGCAGTTTCTCATTCCTATTTGTGTTTTGCAGTTAAAAATTCTCCTTCAGTCTGTCAGAGAAGACTTTATGGGAGACCTATTCTTGGAACAAGTTTATGATAAATAACTTACTGTATTTGATCTTGAAACACATAAATGGAATGCTAGAAGTAGAAGAAAAATGTTGGGTCAGCAGTATTTAGTTTTAAAAGTAATTAAGATAGAATTTGTGACTGTTATGTTCAGGGAAAAAACAAAAATGAAAACACAGTTCCACATGTTTGGTTAAGTATAATATAGTTAAGTAACTATATGTGGTTGAAAATTCTTTTTATATTAAAATTGTAGACAATTTAGACTAGAATAAACAAACATTCTGTAACTTTTTTATCATGACAGTTTTAATTTTTTTTTCTTAACAGTTTTAATTTTTAAGATGAGATTAAATAAAAAGTCAAGGCTTCAATATTATTTTTAGTAACTTACTTAAGGAATGTTACTTTATAGAAACTAGCAAATGAAACCAAACATTTTCATGAGCCAGGGATATAGTTCAGCAGCACAGTTCCTACCTGGCAAGCACAAGGTCTTGAGTTTGGGTCTTGGTGCCAAAAAAAAAAGAAACTAGGGGCTGGGGATTTAGCTCAGCAGCATAAGCACCTGCCTTGCAAGCAGCCGGTCGTGAGTTCGATCCCCAGTACCGGAAAAAAGAAAAAAAAAAAAAAGAAGAAATCAAACATTTTCAATTCAACGAAATAAATCCCACGTTATAGAAAGAAAAGTTTTCCTTTAATTTTGCTGATTGTATTTTATCAGCTCAGAAGAGGTACAAGGACTATAAATTTTCACATTTTAATGTCTTATTTGGGTACTTGACTTGGTTTGGAAGTATTTCATAATTATACATTTACAAGCTGTCCTTTATTTTGTGATTTTTTTTTTTTTTTTTTTTTTTTTTTGGTACTGGAGATTGAACTTGCAACCTTTAAGGTTACTCCCTTGAGCTAAATCTCTAGCCCTATTTTGTGCTTTCTTAATAGAAAAAGCAAGTTGAATTCAGCTGAATTTTTATTTTTGATAGATTGTTAACTTGCTTTTACTGGAGAAATAAAAATATATTAAACTTGACTGACTTTTTAAAGATAAAACGTTGAACTTTTTTACAGGATCAAAATTGATATAGTGGGGCTGGGGATTTAGCTCAGCAGCATAAGCGCCTGTCTTGCAAGCAGGCAGTCGTGAGTTCAATCCCTGGTACCGATATAAAGGAAAAAGGCAAAAAAAAAGAATTGATACAGTTTCCATTTTTCTTCATATTATTGTGTATATTATCTACTGCAGACTAATATGTCTGTTCTGTTTCTTTGTGGTGTAAGGAAACAGGTTTAGGCCAGTTGTAGTGACACACACCTATAATCCCAGTACTTGGGGAAGTTAAAGGAAGCAGACCGAGAGTTTGAGCCCAACCTGGGCTATATAGTAAGTTCAAGGCCGGCCTGGACTGTACAATGAGACTCTGACTCAGAAACCAAAAGAACAAAGAAAAAGCTAAACTTACATACGTATAAAAGTTACCTACAAAAAAATAAAAATTGCCTATAGGTGAGTGGAATATTTACAAGCTAAAACATTTCAGAAAACAATGCCTATTTATTCTGAACATCTTTTTTATTTGGCTAATTCATGTATTATACTTGTTGCTACCATTAAAAATGATATCCCATTATTTCTTTATTAAACAAGTTTTATTGGCACCCAAAAAACAAAGTTCACTGAACACTGAATGTATTTTAATATTCATATTGTATTTTTTATTCATTGCAGTATGAAGAACAGATCACACACACACTCATTCTGAAATAACAGACCATAATGTAAATTTAACAAAATCTCTGTATTATGCTCAAGGATCTAGAGCCAGTCTTTGTATAAACTATCACAGGAAACAGGTTTAGGCCAGTTGTAGTGACACACACCTATAATCCCAGTACTTGGGGAAGTTAAAGGAGGCAGACCTTTGTGATTAACTTAAAATTCTGCAGCAGCCTGTGATATGGATAAGATACACTTCCACTAGCTATTTTAAAATGTATCTATTACCGTATCTAACCTAATGATACTATCCAAAAAAGTATTTCTTCAAAAGGAAGTCTCTGACATTACTGACTTCCTTGATGTTGGAAGAATTTAAGGGCAACCTTTATACTTTATCAGAAAATTGTTTAAATCTTTACATACGTGTTTATGTTAAGAACCATGTCTATAGGAATCAGTTGTACAGTTATTTTAAGAGAAAGATAAATGTGAAGTTAACTTAATTCTGGCAGACATAGGTGAATAACTATAGTCCAGTCAGGCATTAATCTATTACAGAAAGATGACAACTTTACAAAGATTACATACTGAGTGATGGTTGTGTCCTGTCAGTTTCTAAGCATTATACTATCACTAAAAATATGGAACATTCACAGATTTGTGTGTCATCCTTGCACAGAGGCCAGGCTAATCATCTCTCAGGCACATCCCATTATTTCTGCAGAAAAATGTTGAATTTGATATTTACAGCTTTGATGAATGCTAAATTCTAATAGTGGTTGTCTATTTAAATGCAAATGCAAATAATGAGAGTTTTTCTCTTTTCAGTCCTTATCCATGTTCACTTTTAATGATATGGTCAGGTTGTTAGTCTGTATTTTACAGTAACTGCTAGCAAACATTGTTACCTTATTTCTGGTTCTGAAACATTACTGTATTAAATGTGATACTACCAGTTAGATGAGCTAATTAAATGAGTCTTCCTTAGAAGTTCTCTTTTATTGATAATTTAAATCTGCATTTGTTTAGATGGTCTGGTTTTTCACCTTTCATAATAGTAGTGTGATGAATGACATTGAATTTCTGATATGGAGCCATTCTTGTGTTCTTATTTGATAGTGTTTTAAATGAAATATTTTATCAACTGTATAAATATAAATGAGTGTGAAGATGATTAAACTAAAAATTAGGTAGCATGCAAAAACAGCTACATATAAAAAAGGCACGATTGCCACTGTTTGATGAAAATAACCTGAAGAAGCACTGGGCCATAGACTGGCTTCAGTTTCTCTTAAGAATTTTCAAGTCCTTTCTCTAGAAAAGTCATTGAGCAAGGCTGTGAGCAAATCTTGAGAAACAGAGTGTTATCCACAATCATTGTGTTCTGAAAACTGCACTGGCTGCTAGCAGTGGCATCTGCCTGTAACATGGTTATGGGCAGCAGCCTGAGTTCTCTGTGACTATCCTCTGAGTAAGAGTAGATCACGGGCTGGGGTGTAGCTCAGCAGCCTAAGCACCTGCCTAGCAAGCATGGGTCATGAATTCAGTCTCTGGCACGCACACACAAAAAAGAGTAGATCAAAACAAACACCTTTGCATTGTGTAATGATCCTAAGAGCAGTGCTTGAAGAGCAAGGACTTCATTAGCACATGGTCCAGCAACCCAAGCACAGATAAAAACTAGGCCAGGCACACCCAGACCTTACCGGGTTAAAGTGTAGCACAGCCAAGGGCATCATGCCGAAGACAGGCTTCGTTCTGTCTCTTGTGTCTTTTGCACAAACCTGAACTGGTACACAACTGTTATCCTGGCTTCATTCTTCATTTTCCTGAGTTCTCTTTTTGTCTTTTTTCCACATCTCACACCTGCCTCCTCCATTTGTTTCTTTGGAAAGACAGAATATATTTCTAGGAGCTCCTGAGAAAAGCTGCATGAGATGCATGAGACTTTGAAAACTGAGTTTGGGTGTAGAATTCCAAGTTGAGTGTTGTTTTTTCTTTAAAAATTTGAAAGACTTTTGCTGTTTTCTAGCTTCCATTATGCTATGGAGAAGTCGGAAAACATTCTGATTCTTCATCTTTTCTATGGGACCTGTTTTGTTTTTGTTTTTCCCTCTAGAAGCTTGCAGGATCTTGTTTGACTTCACATTTATAAATTCCACAATATGCCTTAGTATGGGTGTGGGTTTTTTTGATAGCAGCTTATGCAAGTCTAACAATATCTTCTTTCACC